CCAGCCTCCACTCGCACACAGACACACCCACCCCCAGCCTCCACTCGGGAGTGACGGGGAAAGATATAAAAGGGACTTCAGGGTAACTTTTTCATGCAGAGGGTTGTGCGTGTATGGAATGAGCTGCCACAGGATGAGCTGGGTAAAATTACAACATTTAAAAGGCATCTGGATGGGTATATGAATAGGAAGGGTTTAGAGCGATATGGACCAAATTCTGGTAAATGGGACTAGATCAGTTTAGGATATCTGGTCAGCAGGATATTATTAGCACAACCCCACTCTCCTTTTCTTTCTTGTCTTTTCTTCCTAAGTGTCAAATATCCTGGAATATTCAGTTCCCAATCCTGGTCACCATGCAGCCATGTTTCAATAGTGACAATCTATGTTTTTTTTGTGTTTTCAGACCATCACCATGTGTGCATCAAACAGAGTGCCCTTCACTTGGTCTTTCCAACATTAGTCTCACTCGATACATACCCAGCTTGCTTTCTCTGGCCTTCCTGTTTCTCCGTCATCTTTGCAATCTCCTGTGCCTAACGTTCCTTCCTTCCAATTTCAGTTACCCCACTCAGGTTCCCATCCCCTGACAACCTTGTTTAAACTCAGCCCAACAGCACGAGCAAATCTCCTTGCATCCCTTGTTGAGTTTCTCTTTGCTCTGGAACTGGTCTTAATTCCTCAGAAAACCCTGTCTCCGAGACTAACCACGTATTCAATCGATCGGTTCTCCTGTTGTCATTCTCACTAACATATGGTACTGGGATTAATCCTGAGATCACTGCCCTTCAGGTGCTGCTTTTAAACTTCCTTCCTAACGCCCCTGAAACCTGCCTCCAGGCCCTCATCCCTCTTCCTGCCGATGTTGCTGGGACCAATATGGACCACAATCTCTTGCTGATCCCCCTCCCAGAAAGATGTCTGTAGCTGCTGTGTGACATCCAGGACCGTGGCCCCATGGCACAGCAGAGGACTCTTATGGCACAGCGGTAATGTCCTGACCTTTAAGCCAGGAGACCTGGGTTCAAGTCCCACCTGCTCCAGAGGTGTGCAATAGCATCTCTGAAGCAGGTTGCACTGAAAATATTGACCACCCTGGAGTCACATTTAATATTGTAGAAATACCTGGCTGGTTACCCTGTCTGTGGAATCCCCCATCGTTACTGCCCTCTCATTCCTCTCCATCTGAGTACAGCTCAGTCACCATGGTACCAAGGCCTCAGCTTTACCACACTCCCTGCAGTAACTATCATTCTCACTTGTTTCCAAACTGGAATACTGATTAGTGAGCACAATAGTCCCTGGGGCCTCTTGTATTGCCTGGTTCGCCCAAGCTGCCTTGATGAGTTTAGGGTTTTTGTGTCAGACTGACAGATATTTGTTTGGGCACTTACCACTTATTTCTTACCTGACACACATATCTGCATGGTACTGCTTGCCATGCAGTATACCCAGGAGTGTCGGATTCTTGTTATCTCGGAAGTTTAATGTCACATCATACACAGCAGCAACTGAAATGGAAAGCAGCCAGATGATGTTGTAGTTTGTGAGACAGCAGCAGACATTCCACAGGGCTGATTCACAGAGTACAGGCTGAAGCAGCTACCAGACATGTCCCCAACCCTCACATTGGCCCCCAGTCTCATTAGGCAATGTTCACAAGCTGACAGGTGGGTTTTTGGACTGTGGGGTTGAACAGAGATGCTGACATTGGCTGCTGTAATACAGGGTTGCTTCAGGATACCCAGAGGAAGTGGTGGAGGCGGGTACAATTACAACATTTAAAAGGAATCTGGGTGGGCATATAAATAGGAAGGGTTTAGAGGGATATGAGCCAAATGCTGGCGAATGGGACTAGATTAATTTACAATATCTGATTAGCCTGGATGAGTTAGACCTAAGGGTCCATTTCCGTGCTGTAGACTCTACGTCTCTTTGATGCTGGAACAAGAGCAGGTAGCAGCTCGGTGAGTTCCCACACCCACTGTCAAAAACCTAAAACAATTAAAAGCCCTGGTCACCGCATAGCAAGTTGAACCAGAGTCTGAGAAAGAAACACCAAATCCAGTTGAACTTCAAACCAAGACAGGTGCCTGACTTTCTCACAGGCAGGTTAGTATAGGCCATTTTCAGAGAGACCACCTTGTGACCAGTGTTAGAACCTTGGGGTCTGAGAGGGTGAACTTGAGGGACATTTTCTGATGGGACTGGAGGAGTCATTCCCTGGGATCTGCTTCCAAGGTGTTAGGAGGCAAAACAAAGAGGAGAAAGGAGTTAATCAGGCTGAAGGTGAGAGAACAAGGCCTGGTATCAGGCTCAAAGAACTGCGGATGCCTGAGATCAGAAACATGAACAAAACTTGGTGGAGAAACTCAGCAGGTCTGGTAGCATCTGTGGAGAGAAAGCAGAGTTAACGTTTTGAGTCCAAATATGAATGTGTTGTGAGGTCAGGGTGAAACACAGCCAACTCACCCGTTCCCCTGAGGTATTTAACAGTGGTGGTAAAACCTTTGGTCCTTGGCAACAGGTGATATTTCAGCTTCGGCAAACCCTTAGATTCAGCAACCTCCATACTAATGCGATGTTTCTTCTCTGTAAAACGTGTGCCTTCACAGTATAACAGAAACTGAAATAGAGAGAGTGACAGATAAAAAGTCTTTTAATAAGTAACTTGGAATCAAGGCACAGGACCTCACTGGGGGGGCAGGGGTGCGTTCCCACACACATTAACCCTCATTTTGGTACAGTCATAGAATCCCTACAATGTGGAAACAGGCCATTTGGCCCAACAGGTCTCATTGACCCTCCGAAAAGCATCCCACCCAAACCCATCCCCCTACCCTATCCCTGTAACACGGCATCTCCTATGGCTAACCCACTCAGCCTGCACATCCCTGAACACTATGGGCAATTTAGCATTGCCAATCCACCCACCCTGCACATGTTTGGATTTTGGACCACACCAACCTGACCTGACCCGACCCTCCCTGGGGTACGGGGACCCACACGCACCCGACCCTCCCTGGGGTACGGGGACCCGCACGCACACACACACACACCGACCCGACCCAACCCCCCGGGGTAAGGGGACCCGCACACACACCGACCCGACCCACCCTGGGGTACAGGGACCCGCGCACACACACCGACCCGACCCACCCTGGGGTACAGGGACCCGCACACACACACCGACCCGACCCGACCCCCCTGGGGTACGGGGACCAGCACACACACGACATGACATGACATGACACGACATGCCCCGACCTGACCCTCCCTAGGGTACGGGGTCCCACGCGCACCCGACCCAACCCTCCCTAGGGTATGGGGTCCCATGCGCACCCGACCCGACCCTCCCTACGGTATGGGGTCCCACACATTGACTTGTACAAGATTAAGATAAATAGAAACTTTTCCCATTAGCTGACAGCATAAGGACTCAGGCATAGAAATCACATATTTTGGGGGAAAAGAAGTGCAGCAGGGAGGATGAGGGTGTACAGTTTTATACAGTAAGTGGCCATAACTGGAACTTATCCACAGGGTATTTTTGGAAGAAGAGATCAACAAACGGTTTCAAAAGGAACAAAACCAGATATTGCTGGAGAAACTCAGCAGTTCTGAAGAAGGTTCACCAGACTTGAAACGCTGACTCTGCTTTCTCTCCACAAATACTGCCAGATCTGCCCAACTTCTCCAGCAATTTCTGTTTCTTTTTCAGCCTTCCAGCATCAGCAGTTCTTTGTTTTCTTTAAATGATTTCAAAAGGAAACTGAAGGGAATAAATGTCTGGGCTTTGGGATGGAGTGGAGGGGAATGGATTGATAGAATTGTTCCAGGGAGAGTTGGCAGAGCTGGGCTGAGTTGGTTTCTTGTGTTGGAATGACTCTTGGAGATACTTGTACTTTCTCTATCATTCCCTGGAGGTGCATGTAGTTTTGGAACCGGCAGTGTACTCACCCACATGTACTCTGGGTAGTCCCGCAATGCCTTCAGTCCATTTACAACTGTCTCTCTGTCCTCATCCCAACGACGTTTACAGAAAACAATCTCCAGGAAATACCATGTCCATCCGATCAGAGGTACATAAAGCAATTCCTTCTTCGCCAACACTTTGGAACTCTGTAGACATCAAGGCAGTGAATAAAGCCACAGCAATACCCGACAATGAAGGTGGCTCTCCGTGACTCAAAGTTCTTCACCATCTGCCCTTCCCACCACTTCTGCCCACTATTCACCCCACCCCCACCTCCTCATCGCCTCCGCTCCACCCGCACACATCTGCCCCGCCAAATGTGAGCCAAGTACGTATGATCAAGTCTGCAGCACTGTGCTGCCTAAAGTTCAACTCAGGATAACTCAGTTGTGGATGTTGTCAATTTTGCACAACCCATGACTACCAACACCACCCCCCACCCCCTGATCTTGGAAAGCCCCACACAAACAGTGTTAATTGAAACTACGTAGTATATACAGCAAGAATAAAACACGAGGTCAGGGCACAGGTACCCATCCAGATAAAGGCCAGGAACCTGGGAAGGAGGAGAGAAGAGGAATCAGCACAAACATGTTCTAAACAAACAGCCGACAGCTGCAGCCAGCAGCATGAGAAAGGAAGGAGGAATTAAAGCATGTGCGGCACTCTCACTTCCCACAAGGTTTTGAAGACAGCAACTTAAAATACAAGAGATAAAAGGTGAATGTTACTGACCCCCAGAACGCCGTGTCTCTCACACATGGCCCAACCGCAGAGGAAGTCAATCTCAAAATTGTGATTTAAGATGACAATAACATGCTCCTTGCCAAATTGGTCCACCGTGGCCTGGTTAGTGAAAAGTGTACATTCCGTGCCAGACCACCATTCCAGCAGCAAGACCAGCTCTAGAGACACAGAGGGAAGATGGCCAGATTACCAAGGGCAACAGTAGCTGAAACAGACCAAGACCAATACACATCAAGCTCGCCACAGCAGAGAATTAACATCAGAGACACATTTCCAAAGCCAGGCAAGAAACCGTTCTCAGCACTATGTTGAGGAAAAGGCAGAGAACGTTACACAGTGGAAACACCTCATCCAACAGAAACCATCTGGCTGTCTCAAAAGCATTTCTCCAGTTCTATGTACAAGCAAACCTTACTCTATTCTTAAATGAAAATTAAAGCTCCCTCTACACTGTCCCCATTAAACACTGCCAGTACAGGACAGCACGGGGTTAGACACAGAATAAAGCTCCCTCTACACTGTCCCCATCAAACACTGCCAGGACAGGACAGGATAGGGTTAGACACAGAATAAAGCTCCCTCTACACACTGTCCCCATCAAACACTGCCAGGATAGGGACAGCATCGGGTTAGATACAGAGTAAAAGATCCCTCTGCTCTTTACAACTAAAAGTAAGGCTCTCTCTACACTATCCCTATCAAACAATTGCTATCCATGAATGCTATCCACTCAGGGCCAGTTTTCCTTTTTGGACAGCAGCCTGATTATGCAGTGCCCTATACGATGGTTATTGATGTCGAGGCAAGAATTGAGTAAACTCTAGTAATAGGCTTTCCATGGAGGGGGATATCAGTCTGGGCTGGCTTTACACCCTGGTTAACAAGCAGCACCTCCCATTTATAATAAACTGAAAGGTGTGCCCAGCACAGTCAGGCTCGGCTGTGAGCAATACTCACGGCTCCACAGTGAGTAAGCAAGTCGACAGTTGAGATGTCGATAGAGCTGTTTGTTGATGGGCCAGATGGGGAGTGTGCAAAGTTGGAAGAAGTTGATGCAGATGCCACTGACAACGAACACAAATCCAAGTAAAAGATGAATGATGAACTGAGTCTTCAGGTAGCCGATTACACTCATGGTTTAATCAGAAACGTTTACAAGGCCCCTCACTCAGAATAACCGTCCTGGAAAAGAGGGAGGGGAGAGAAAACAGATCATCAATTTAACTGTGACATTACAGCATAGTCATCCAACCTCCAGCACAGCTTCAGGCCCTTCGGCCCACCCACTAACCTCCCAAATTTCCCCTTGGTTATTCTGCCAATCACCACAAAACTGTGCCCACTGTCCCGCTGAATTGTAAATCAGTTTAAGGTGAGGAGAAGGATTGAGAGCAATTAGAAGTTGCGGATCACATTGTTGGGGCAAGGGGCACATGTGTCTTCTGTGTGTTAACCAATCCTCAATCTATGCTGATATGTTATCCCCAATATCAGGAGCTCTTATCTTGCGTAATAACCTTTTATGTTGCACTTTATCAAATAGAGGCTAGGTTACTGAGTATGTTCAAGGCTGTGTTAGATATTTGATGGACAGGGGAGTCCAGGGTTTTGAGAAGCAGACAAGAACATGGGGTCAAAAACATGATGCGATCAGACATGATCTTTCAAATGAGCAGGCCTGATAGGACGAAAGGCCACTTTGCTCTCATTTCTTATGTTTCTTCTGCTGACTAGTGCAACAAACCAGAGCTCATCACCCCCTCAGCCTGCAGACTGCATCCCTGGCTATCAGTAGGCACTCTGATAAGGCACAAAACTAACTCCACATGTCCTGCTGGGGGATCAGTCACTCTAGCTGATTCTGAACAACTGTCAGCTAAATTGCTGTGTCTAACCAGCTCTATCTTTTCCCAGGGCCAGGGCCAGAGCTACACTTGCACCTTCTGAAAGAATGTTGGTGTTTATCAAGCTCTGTGGAAGAGATCTGGGTAGCAGGTACTCACAAATGAAAATGACTCCTTCACATAAATTGTAAGCATCATGTTACAGCACTGTTTAATAAACAGCCCAGTGTAGCACACTGAGAGAGAGGAGTGAACAAGCCATTCATTCTATTTGTAGTTTTAATACAATTATTGTAGAATTTGCTCAGCTGCTGCAGACTGCAAAGACTCTGTAGCTCAGAATCACTGAATTGTTACGGCCCAGAAACTGGTGGTGTTTGTGCCATTCGACTGCCTCTTCACTACACCCTGCCTGTTGTTCTTTTGCAAATAATCCTAAATTTCCTTTTGAAATTCTTGTTTGAACCTGCTTTCATCACACACAGACAGCACATTCCAGATCCTAACTACTCGCTGTGTAAGAAGATTTTCCTTATCTCACTATGGCTCCTTTTATTGATCACTTTTTAACTGTGCTCTTTAATATTCAGTCATTTCACAAGGAGGAACATTTTCTGCCTATTTATTCAGTCCAGACTTCTCATGACTTTAAATACCTTAACCAGGACACAGGAAAACAATCCCAACTTCTCCACCTATCTTCACCATCGATGTCCCTCATCCCTGGAATCATTCTCATAATCTTCTTCTGCACTCTCTCCAATGCATTCACATCCTTCCTATTGTTCAGTGCCCAGAACTGTGCATTATACTCTATTTTAGGACAACTCAGTGTCTTATCGCCACAAAAACAAAGTTGCTGGAAAAGCTCAGCAGGTCTGGCAGCATCCATGAAGGAGAAAACAGAGTTAATGTTTCGGATCTGGCCACCCTTCCTCAGAACTGTCTCATTGGTTCAATATCAGCTCCTTATTCCTGCACTCCATGTCCCTAGTAATGAAACGGGGGATACTGTCTATTTTATTAACTGCCCTCTCCAATTGTCCTGTCACCTTTAATAATTTCTACACACACATCAACTTCTCTTGTTCCTGCACCTGCTCCCCTTTCAGAGTAGTACCTTGATTTTACACTGTCTCTCCTGGTTCTTTGTAGGAAAGTGTCTCACCTCATATTTCTCCACATTGAAATTCATCTGCCACCAACCTGTCCACTCCACCAACTTGGCAATGTCCTTTTGAAGTTCTACACCGTCCTCAGCTTACAGTTTGATGAAGTTTCATATCACTCATGAATTGTGCAGTGTACGCCAAGTACACATCATTAATGTAACAGGAAAAACAAAAGTCCTAATGTTAACCCCTGAGGAACTCCACTACAAGGTCTGATTAGAGACAGTCAGCATGGATTTGTGCGTGGGAAGTCATGTCTGACAATCTTTTAGAGTTTTTTGAAGAGGTAACCAAGAAAATGGATGAGGGTGGGGCAGTGGATGTTATCTATATGGGACTTTAGTAAGGCCTTTGACAAAGTCCTGCATGGCAGGCAACTTATGAAGGTTAGGTCGCATGGGATCCAGGGAGAGCGAGCTCATTGCATTCAAAACTGGCTCAATGGTCGGAAGCAGAGGGTGATGGTTGAAGGTTGTTTCTCGGACTGGAGGCCTGTGACTAGTGGTGTGCCACAGGGGTCGGTGATGGGACCTTTGTTATTTGTTATTTACGTAAATGATCTGGATGTGAATGTACAAGGCATGATTAGTAAGTTTGCAAAATTAGGAGGTACCACTGATAGCAAAGAAGGTTATCAAAAATTACAGCGGGATTTTGATCAGATGGGGAAGTGGGCTGAGGATTGGCAAATGCAATTCGATACAGATAAATAAAAAATGCACTTTGGAAAGTCAAACCAAGGTAGGACTTATACAGTAAATGGTAAGCTCCTGAGGAGTGTTGTGGAACAGAGGGACCTAGCAGTACAAGTACATAGTTTGTTGGAAGCAGCCTCACAGGTGCACAGGGTGGTGAAGAAGGCATTTAGCATGCTGGCCTTCATCTGTCGAGGCATTGAGTTTAGGAGTTGAGACGTTATGTCACAGTTGTATATTGTTGTTGAGGCCGCACTTGGAGTCTTGTGTACAGTTTTGGTCACCCTGTTATAGGAAAGACATAGTTAAACTGGAAAGTGTGCAAAGAAAATTTACGAGAATGTTGCCAGAACTAGTAGGCCTGAGTTATAGGGAGAGGTTGGCCAGGATAGGACTTTATTCCTTGGAAGGTAGGAGAATGAAGGGTGATCTTATTGAAGTGTATAAAATCATGAGTGGGATAGATAGGATGAATGCATATAGTGTTTTGCCCAGGGATGGGGAATGGAAAACTAGAGGCATAGATTTAAAGTGAGAGGGGAAAGACTTAAGAAGGCCTTGAGGGGCAACTTGTCATGCAGAGTGTGATGCGTATATGGAATGGGCTGCCAGAAAAAGTGGTTGAGGCAGGTACAACAGTGACATTTAAAAACATTTCAATAGGTACATGGATGGGAAGGGTTTAGAGGGATATGGACCAAATGCAGGCAATTGGAACTAGCTGAGTGGGTACCATGGTCAGCATGGACCAGTTTGGGCCGAAGGGCCTGTTTCCATGCTGTATTACTCTGTGACTCTAAATCTTATCTGAAACACATCCATTATCCATTACTCTGTTGCCTGTCATTCAGCTCATTTTCGATCCATGTTGGCATTGTTCATTTTATTCTATAGACTTGAACTTTCCTAAAGTCTGTTGGGTGGCACTGTACTGAAGCCCTTTGGGAGCCAATGTACACCAAATCAACAACATTATCCTGGAGATAGTAAAGACTGCAGGTGCTGGAAGCTAGAGTCAATAAATATGGAGTTGGAAAAGCACAACAGGTCAGACAGCATTGGAGGAGCTGTCTGACCTGCTGTGCTTTTCCAGCTCCACATTCATTGACAATGGCATTACCCTTATCAACACACTCTGCTACTTGTTCAAAAAAACCCCAACAAGTTAATGAAACATAATTTTCTCTGAAGACATCGATGCTGGTTCTCTTTAATTAACCCACATTTGTCCATGTAACTACTAACTTTGTCCCAAATTATTGTTACAAGTTTTCCAGCCAATGAGGGTTAACTGACTGGTTTGTAGTTCCTTGGCTTATCCTTCCAGCCTATTTTGAACAAGGGTGGAATGGTCTGTAATCCACAGCCCTCTGGCACAAGTTCAAATCCAAGGAAGACTGGAAGATTATGCCCAGTGTCTCTGCAATTTCTATTCTCACTTTTCTTATGATCATGGCTGGCATCTCATCTGCTCCTAATGCCTTGGACACTTGGCCACTTTAAGTACAGACAGCTATGCAATACTACCTCATTAATTGTAAAATCTTATCATACAAAATACCTCAGCATTGGCTTTTCGCTCCAAATATGCATCCCCATTTAGTTCCTAATCAATCCCCTTCTCCTTTCATCACTCTATTGTATTTACGTGCCTATAGAAAACTTCGGGGTTCCTTTCTTTGTTAGCTGCCAGTCTCTTTTCATACTCCTGTTTCTCTGATTTCTTTTCTCACCTTCCCATCTCAACATTCTACAAATCAGTCTGGTTCTCAACTTTATTTCCAACTGGACACCTGTCATGAGCATAGTCTTCTTCTTTATCAGCACTTCTTCCATAGAATCCCTACAGCGTGGAAAGAGGCCATTCAGCCCATCGGGTCAGCACTAAACAAAGAGCATCCCATCCAGACGCACCTCCCACCCTATCCCCATTACCCTGCATATCCCATGGCATATCCCATTGATTACAGATCAATCCACCCAGCCTGCACATCATTAGTCACTAAGGATTATTTCCCATGGCCAATCCACCTAATCTACACATCCCTGAACACTATGGGCAATTTAGCATGGCCAATCCACCAAGCCTGCACATCTTTGGACTGTGGGAGGAAACCGGAGTACCCGGAGGAAGCCCACGCAGACACGGGGAGAATGTGCAAACTCCACACAGACAGTTGCCCGAGGGTGGAATTGAACCCAGATCCCTGGCGCTGTGAGGCAGCAGCACTAACCATGGAGCCACCGTGTCTCACAGTGTCATTCAAGAAGCTCTGGTTTTGTATATCTTAACTTTCCCATTAGACTTTCTAAACTGAGGCCAAAAAAATCTTTCTTTCAAGGTAGCCCACTGTTCAGCTGGTTTATCCCATAAACTTTTGACTCCAATATTTCCCACCCAGATCCTTCCTTATCTCATTGACATCCCCCCAGTTAAGTCACAATCTGAGGATAAGGAGTTGACCATTTAA